TCTTTTTTTTTTTTTTTTTTTTTTTTTTCCTTTCTTTTTATCCCTGTAACTAATGCCTGTGTCAGACATTTCCTGGCACTAAGGCTGTGTCTTGTTCCCCTAAATGAGATCAGATGGATGTGTGGGAAGCTGGCATGCCAGCAGAGAAGGAAGGATGTCTTGCTGAATGTCCTCTGGGAGAGCAGGTCTGAGCAACTGCTGAGTAGAGGAGTTGCATCAGGGAATTGGTGACTTAGTTCCAGAAAAAAAGATTGAGAAACTGCAGCAATGAGTAGGGGTCAGACAGTGAGGACTCACTGAGGCTAGATGGATTTTTCTGAGGTCCAGGAGACCCTGCTGTACTTGAGTGATGAAATCATTACATGATTTTAAATTTTAAGCTTAAAGTTTGGGGGGTTAGATAAAGCCATTTAAAAGAGCAGGAAAAATCACAAACAAGCACTTCGCTCACTCCTGTGGAACTCACTACTGGAGAAGGCCTTTCAAAGGCTTCAACCAGCTTGAGATGTGAGTACCCAGCCATTTTAGTTTGGGAGACATTGAGTACATTACAAGCTAGGTGGTGAACACAGTTAGCATTTTGCTGTTGAATTCTTTCATTCCAAGTCATTTTTTAAAGAAGGATTTACTCAGAGTGAGCCAGAAAGCTCTACTGGAGCATTTTGTTACGGAAGAACTTGTTAAATTCAGCCAGCAGCAGGGGTAATCAGACAAGAGCAGGCAGTACCGTTGCAACTGTATGTCTGGCTTTTGTTTTGTTTGTGAAGGAAATAAATAGCTGTGCCATTTAGAACAACATTAAGACTTTCTGATGAGTGACTAGCCCAAGCTTCACTTTGGTACATTTAAGCTACATAGTGTTGCAGTGGATAACTTCCTTTTGAGACCCTCAAAAGAAAACAATCTGCACCCTGCATTTTTCCCCCTCAGTTGCCCTTTGACAATCCTCACTCGGAGGAAGCACAGTGTGTTACAGTCATCATAGCTTCACTGCTCTTTATGGATTTTAGTGTGCAAGTCCTGTAAGAAAAATAAGGAACAAGTGTGATGATTGAATGAGCAAATTAGGAAACTTGCTAGAAATATTTTTAGGTGCTTTTTCTAGTGGTTGTTTTAGACAGTAGCTGATGTGTGGCCATTCTTTCTCCAGCTTTAATATTTTAAGAAATGCCATGAGCGTTGCTTAGGAAGAGTTCCAATGAATATTAAGTGAAAGCCCACAGGGGTCTACCTGAGACTGAACAAATTGCTTCTGTGAGATGAGTTGAACAGTTATTTGTGTTCCACTTACCAATTAACATCTTTTTTGGCTTTTGATTTTCCTAGATATCCGTGGAATACAAGAGTTTTTGGACAAAGTATCTCAACAGGGAATGGATGTAGCACTGCAGAAAGTAGAAAACAACATCAATAAAATGATCACAGGGCTCTTTGCCACTATGCGAATAGAAGAACTGAACCGCTACAGGGATACTCTGAGACGGGCTATTCTTATAATGAACCCCTCAACAGCCAGATCATTCATAACAGAGGTATGTGTTTATCACTGGTAACTTCTTGTTTTGTTGACTAAGAATGCACCTGTTTGTCAAAAGATTCAGTTTATATGACTTCATAAAACAAATCAAACAAACAAACAAAAAAAAAACACAAACCAAATAAAAATTGATATATTCTCTCTTCAGAGATCATCGTGCAAGGATATTTTTTCATGCACAAAAATGTGCGTAGAGAACAGAATAACTATGTTCTGCATGATCAATAGCATTTAGGAAACATACGGAAGAATTAGATCGCAGACTTCTGTTTGAAGCTTGTGGATATTTTATGATTATTTCCTTGTTCATTGTGTCCCTCACTAAAAAATCTTTACAACTGACAATTTTATTATTATTTTGATAGATGTATTTGTGGATAAAATGTGTTTAACTGGTTAGCATTTTATTTTTGATATAAAATAATTTTCAATAATGATCTGTTATGTAGCACTGAGTATTAATAAGGTAATGGAACTTATGAAGTATTGCATCTGAATGAAGAATTTAAGACAATAGGCTACAAAGTTATTCTTATGTATTTAAACAAAAACTGCAAGCACTATGGACAGAATTTTCAAAAAGCTCTTCAAGATTTAGGGACAAAAGACATACCACATTCGACCATGACTTGTGATATTTCTTTGAATGACATGGATTTTTTTACACAGCACGGTGATGTTTCAGATGTGGGATTTTTTACAGGCGTTTATACTCTTCATCACCAACCAATGGCTAAAAATTTGTTTTCCATTCCATAGACATACACTTTCTCTCTGCAATAATTTCTTTTTGGATCTATTTGTAACTTGCCTTACTTACATACTTCCCTACTGCCTAGGTCTTCAGAAGCTGAGGCTTAAAAGCTAACTCCACATATGTAGTCTCAAGTGAGTGCCTGTTAGTAACCTTAGTTAGAAGAGGACTTCTTGTTTCTTAGAAATTTTTTCACTTTTTTTTTGGCTAGGTATTCTCTGTCCTCATTACACACTGAAGCTTGCTAGTTCTGAGTAATGAGGGTTCGCTGCCCTATTCAAATGTCTGCAGTACCTTATAAAATGTAAACAATTTGTGGGCATGTTTTAGATAGTTCTGCACTGTTTTCATCACCCAAGTCACAAATGTTTTATTTTTCAGTAAGTGTCATTGCAAGGTATTTTACATTTCAGCCTGAAAGCAACAGAGTTCAGGGCTCTAACTACAATAACTCAGTGAAACAAAAGTCCTGTATTGTTCCTAAAGAGAAACACTCTTTCTAAAAAAAAAATACACTTTATCATTTATTTCTCAGACTGGAGCAGAGTAATAAAGTCATTGTCATCTTTTGAAGTTGCCATGTATGTGTTGCCAAGAATGTAGACAGTTTATTTTAGAGTTCTCACTTTTCTTTGGCCTCTCAAAACCACCCCAAAACCAAAAATGAAGAAACCAACTAAACCAAGCCCAAAATTCCCCTTCCACCCAAAAAATCCAAAACCAACCAAAAAAAACCCAAACCAACAACAGAAACCTCCCAATGTTTCTCTTTTCCTGGAGACTGTAAGACTACCAGGAAAGGTCATTAACTTCATTTGTGAGTGGGGTTCAAGAAGGGTGTTTCACATCAGGCACTACCTTACAGGTTTTGGCAGAATAACAACATTTATTCAGAGTATGATGTGTGACTGGAAAAACTGACAGCAGGAGCCTCTTAATAGGAAAAGTTACTCAAATAGAAGTATGATTACTGCTGTATTTTATTTCTGTTGGTGGCAGGGAATGAACTGCACAACTCCGTGCGTCACTGAAAGGAGAAATTTGCTGGGATAGCTTTGCCAGCGGATGTTAAAAACTTATTTTGCAGTTGAACCACAACTGTACTGTATGGACAAACATGTTATAAAGCCTATGAATTGCCTATGGGTTAAGATATTCCTAAACCATTCAAGTGTGGACATGCTTATTCCAAAGACTGTGCCTTGTGCATGATCACTTTAATTTTGATGTTCAGTTTAACCTAGTTGATTTAGCATGTAAAATTTAAAAAATTCATAAGAAAAAAATGCATATTTAGGCAAGCCCTTGGGGTTTTTATGGCTTTTCTGCCCAGGAGATGCTTTTGGCTGCCTAGTTGGATTCAGCTGTAAGCCTCTCTCCCCAGATCTCTCACAGTATCTGCTGCTCGGTCCTTTCTTGGATGACTGATTTGGATGAACCCCCTCATTATTTAGCTGAGAAGAGGGTTCATTCACTCTGCAGCAGCTGTAGTAAGCGTCGGCTTGATTACTATGCAAGTAACAACTTTTCCAGGGTAAATAGTTAGACACTGAACTGTGTAAATAGGCAGTCTGTAAATTGAAGATTCCATGTGGTAGAATTTATCTTTGTTCTGACTCTTTTATATTCTTATTTTTAAGTAAAAAAGTTCTGGGTTTGAATTTTCTTCTTTGTTTTTGTTCTTAAAGCAGCCTTGCCTTTTTATGTTAGATTCCTTCTTTTTCTCCAGCTTTTATATCTCTAGAGCTTGCAGAAATGAGAGCTATACCTATATACTCAAAAAAATGGATATTAAGATGTACATACACTCTTCTGACTATGGAGATAAAACTCCACCTTTTCTTTAACCATTAAATATAATTTGCCCTCTCCAGGACTTGGAAATCCAGAAATACTTGGAAGCAGGTATCACAGCATGTCTTCTTACTAGCTAAATGATTAATGTAAAATGAGAGGGAGGGACCAGCCAAATTCTCTACTGTTCCTCGCAAAATCACAGAATCATCTAGGTTGGAAAAGATGTTGAAGATCATTAGTCCAGCCATTAACCTAGCACTGACAGTTCCCAACTACACCATATCCCTCAGTGCTATGTCAACCCAACTCTTAAACACCTCCAGGGATGGGGACTCCACCACCTCCCTGGGCAGCCCATTCCAACACCTAACAACCCCTTCTCTAAAGAAATGCTTCCTAATATCCAGTCTAAACCTTCCCTGGTGCAACTTGAGGCCATTCCCTCTTGTCCTATCGTTTGTTACGTGGTCCAAGAGGCTCATCCCCAGCTCTCTGCAACCTCCTTTCAGGTAGCTGTAGAGGGCGATGAGGTCTCCCCTCAGCCTCCTCTTCTCCAGACTAAACACCCCCAGTTCCCTCAGCCGCTCCCCGTACGACCTGTGCTCCAGACCCTGCACCAGCTTCGTTGCCCTTCTCTGGACACGCTCGAGTCATTCAATGTCCTTTTTGTAGTGAGGGGCCCAAAACTGAACACAGGAATCGAGGGGCGGCCTCCCCAGTGCTGAGTACAGGGGTCAGATCCCTTCCCTGTCCCTGCTGGCCACGCTATTGCTGACACAAGCCAGGATGCCATTGGCCTTCTTGGCCCCCTGGGCACACAGCTGGCTCCTGTTCATCGGGCTGTCAATCAACACCACCCCCCCCAACCCCCACCCCAGGTCCCTCTCTGACTGGCAGCTCTCCAGCCACTCCTCCCCAAGCCTGTAGCGCTGCTGGGGGTTGTTGTGGCCCAAGGGCAGCCCCCGGCATTTGGCCTTATGGAAACTCCTCCAGTTGGGCTCAGCCCATGGCTCCAGCCTGTCCAGGTCTCTCTGCAGAGCCTCCCTACCCTCGAGCAGATCAACACTCCCACCCAACTGGGTGTCATCTGCAAACTGACTGAGGGTGCACTCGATCCCCTCGTCTAGATCATCAATAAAGATGTTAAACAGGAGTGGCCCCAAAACCCAGCCCTGGGGGACACCACTTGTGACCGGCCGCCAACTGGATTTAACTCAGTTCACCACAACTCTTTGGGCCCGGCCATCCAGACAGTTTTTTACCCAGCAAAGCGTGTGCCCATCCAAGCGTTGAGCAGCCAGTTTTAACAGAAGAATGCTGTGGGAAACGGTGTCAAAGGCCTTACTAAAGTCAAGGTAAACAACACCCACAGCCTTTCCCCCATCCAATAAGCAGGTCGCCCTGTCGTAGAAGGAGATCAGGTTTGTCAAGGTAGGACCTGCCTTTCATAAACCCATGCTGACTGGGCCTGAGCATCTGGTTGTCCCCCATGTGTTGTGTGATGGTACTCAGGATGAGCTGCTCCATCAGCTTCCCGGGCACCGAAGTCAAGCTGACAGGCCTGGAATTTCCCGGATCATCCTTCCGACCCTTCTTATAGATGGGCATCACACTGGCCAATTTCCAATCAGTTGGGACCTCCCCGGTCAGCCAGGACAGCTGGTAAATGATGGAAAGCAGCTTGGCAAGCACCCCAGCCAGCGCCTTCAGCACCCTCAGGTGTATCCCATCTGGTCCCATAGACTTGTGTGTATTTGTGTGATGCAGCAGGTCACTGACTGTCTCCTCCTGGATTGGGGGGGGTCGTTCTCCCAGTCTCTGTCTTCTGCCTGAGGAGGCTGGATTCTTCTCCTTTGACCTGGGGATGGAGGGGCAGAAGAGAAAAAAATCTGTTTAAATAGTGTCATTTAGTGGGGCTAAGTAGTGTAGATGTATGCATCTAGCAGAGATTGAGACCTCTCCCCAGATCAGTTTGTAGCAGCATCTGGGAGAATCTTTTGCTGGGGACACCCTGGTGACTTGTTCAGTTTTCTTCAGTAGGGTGAGGTCTTTCTGCACCCTCAAATAATCGAGGTCCAACAGGTGAAGCAGAATACTCCCACTGAAACTTCTGTGGTTTCTGAAAAGCACCTTAGAACCCACAATCTTGCACAGAAATTGCTATGCTGTTTGATAGCACTGGTGACTGATGTGAGCTGTGTGCCACTTGTTTACTTTTTATTTAGGGTGACTTTTTTTTGAACATGTTCTTCTGATCTGTGATGAACTTGCAGGATATGAAAGGATATAGGGGAAAATGAAAAGGAAGTCCTTGCCAGCTCAGTATGGGCAAAAATCTAGCATCAAGTGGCAGAAAACAAAAGTAGAAAAAGGATTAAAAAAAAAAAAAAATATCACCTGGCTCTTTAGCAAAAGAGTAGGGACTCTCTGGGCCAAGAATTTCT